CAGCAAGGCACCTCAGCTTGCAACGCTGAGGCTGTGGGGTGCATGAAGCAGAGCTCCAGGCTTGTTCCCGTTTTGTCTGGCTTCGGGATGTCTGCAGGTCCCAGTTGGTACGGTAGCAAATAATCTCTAGCATCCTGGATGCTGCTCATGATAACCCCAACCTTCCTGGCGGTGGCTTTGTGATGCCTTTCAGGGCTTTTTGATGCACTGTGATGCCTTGGCTGCTCCCTGACACCTCTCTCCTCCAACCGCGTCCATTCCTGGCTCCCAACCTCTGGGCTGCCTGCACAGATCATCTGCAGTCCTGTCATCAGCACACTGCGGCAGGATGAGCTCACCCTGACCCAGCGTCTCATTGGTCAGTGGCAACACCGTCCCGCCTCCACCAGCCTCTCATTGGTCATCGGAAGCGCCATCCCGCCCTTGCCAGTCTCTCATTGGTCTTCAGCAGTACTGTCCCACCTCTGCCAGCGTCTCATTGGTTATCGGCAGAGCCATACTGTCCTCGCCAGCCTCTTATTGGTCATCGTCAGCGCCGTCCTGCCCTCGCCAGCCTCTCATTGGTCATCGGAAGCGCCGTCCCGCCCCTGCCAGCCTCTCATTGGTCAGAGGAAGAGACGTCCCACCCTCGCCAGTCTCTCATTGGTCAGTGGCAACGCCGTCCCGCCTCCGCCAGCCTCTCATTGGTCATCGGCAGCACTGTCCCGCCCCAGGCAGTGTCGTATTGGTCATCGGCAGCGCTGTCCCCTCTCTGCCAGTCTCTCATTGGTCAGCGGCTGGGCCGTCCCGTCCCCGCCAGTCTCTCTTTGGTCAACGGAAGCGACATCCCACTCCTGCCAGCCTCTCATTGGTCATCGGCAGTGCTGTCCCTCCCCAGCAGCCTATCATTGGTCAGTGGTAGCGCCGTCCCGCCCCCGCCAGCCTCTCATTGGTCATCGGAAGCACCATCTCGCCCTCGCCAGTATCTCATTGGTCATCGACAGTTCCATCCCCCACTCACCAGACTCATTGGTCAGTGGCAACGCCGTCCCGCCTCCGCCAGCGTCTTATTGGTCATCGGCAGCGCCGTCCTGCCCTCAGCAGCCTCTCATTGGTCATCGGCAGCGCTGTCCCTCCCCACCAGCCTCTCATTGGTCATCGACTGCGCCATCCCGCCCTAGCCAGCCTCTCATTGGTCATTGGCAGCGCCATCCCGCCCTCGCCAGCCTCTTATTGGTTATCAACAGCGCCGTCCCGCCCTCTCCAGCGTCTCATTGGTCATCGACAGCGCCGTCCCGCCCACACCAGTCTCTCATTGGTCAGTTGCAGTCCCATCCCGCCTCCACCAGCGTCTCATTGGTCATCGGCAGCGCCATCCCATCCTCGCAAGGCTCTCATTGGTCAACGGCTGCTCTGTCCCACCCCCACCAGCCTCTTATTGGCCATAGGCAGAGCCGTCCCACCCTCGCAAGGCTCTCATTGGTCATCGGCAACGCCATCCCGCCCCTGCCAGCCTATCATTGGTCAGTGGCAGGGCAGTCTCGCCCCCGCCAGCGTCTTATTGGTCATTGGCAGCGCTGTCCTGTCCTCGGCAGCCTCTCAATAGTCACCAGCAGCGCCATCCCGCCCCGGTGTGCCTCTCATTGGTCATCGACAGTGCCGTCCCACCCCCGTGTGCCTCTCATTGGTCATAGGCAGCGCCGTCCCGCCCTAGCCAGCCTCTTACAGCCTCTGATAAGGCTGTAGTCCAAACCTTGGTGAAGAGTGGTCTGCTGGGGCTCTGTGTCGCCCTCTAAGGCTCCAGTTTTGCCATTCCCGAAGGCAGGCGGCACCGATCCACTGGTACAGGATCCAAGAGAAATTAATGGCACGGCTCTCAACGACGCTTCTTTTAGGCCCTTCTTTCAGGTTGGGGTGAATCGTAATTTGGAAACACCTTTCTGCCTCCGTGGGCTGCCTTTCTCTTTTGGACTGAGTACCTGGGTTTTTGATGGCTGAATTGAGGTGCGCTGGCTCTTAGCGCTGTTGTTAGCCAAAATATTAACTCTCTCTCTACTTCTATGCTCTTTTTTGAAACAAGCGCCCCAAAGCTGCACAGAATGGAGCAGATTGTCTGGAGGGAGATCACGCTGCACATGCGGGATGAGCGGGGGATCAGGCCTAGCAGCATGGGTTCACGAAGGGCAGCTTCTGTTTGACCAACCTGATCTCCTTTATGATCCGGTGACCCATCTGGTGGATGAGGGAAAGGCTGTTGATGTGGTTTGCCTAGACTTCAGCAAAGCCTTTGGCGCTGTCTCCCACAGCATTCTCCTGCAGAGGCTGGCAGCTTGGATGGCTGCACTCTGTGCTGGGTGAGGAGCTGGCTGGAGGGCCGGGCTCAGAGAGTGGCTGTGAATGGAGTTAAACCCAGCTGGCAATGGTCCTGAGCGCTGTGCCCCAGGGCTCGGTGCTGGGCCTGTCCTCCTCGATATCTTGATTGATGACCTGGAGGAGGGCATCGAGTGCACCCTCAGTACATTCACAGATGGCACCAAATGGGCTGGAAGTGTGGATCTGCCTGGGGGTGGCGAGGCCACACAGAGGGATCTGGACAGGCTGGAGAGCTGGGCTGAAGCCCATGGGCTGAGGTTCAACAAGGCCAAATGCCGGGTCCTGCACTTGGGCTGCAACAACCCCAGGCGACGCTGCAGGCTGGAGGACGGCGTAGAGGAAATTGGACCTGGGGGTATGGATGGGTGCTGGGCTGAACAGGAGCCCACAGAGTGCCCAGGTGGCCAAGAAGGCCAAGGGCAGCCTGGCCTGCATCAGAAACAGCGCTGCCAGCAGGAGCAGAGAGGTGATTGTTCCCCTGCACTCGGCACTGGTGAGGCCGCACCTCGAGTGCTGTGTCCAGTTTTGGGCCCCTCACTGCAAGAAAGACATTGAGGCCATGGAATGCGATCGAAGGAGGGCAACAAAGCTGGTGAGGGGTCTGGAACACAGGGCTGAGGAGGGGAGGCTGAAGGAGCTGGGAACGTTCAGCCTGGAGAAGAGGAGCTCAGGGGAGACCTCACTGCTCTCTATGACTGCCCAAAGGGAGGCTGCAGTGAGCTGGGGGTCAGCCTCTGCTTTCGTGTCATCAGTGATAGGAGCAGAGGGAACGGCTTCAAGCTGCGGCAGGGGAGATTCAGGCGGGACATGAGGAAGAATTACTTTTTGGAAAGGGCGATCAGGCACTGCAATGGATGCCCAGGGAGGAGGTGGAGTCACCAAGCCTGGGGGTGTTCAAGGAAAGACTGGATGTTGTGTTGAGGGATGTGGTTCAGTGGGAGCTGTTGGTAAGAGGTGAGCAGTTGGACTGGATGGGCTTTGAGCTCTGTTCCAACCTCAGTGATTCTGTGATTCTATGATTCTGTGATTCTGTGTGTCCCTGTGGCATCCCCATGTGTCCCTATGGAGTCCCCATGGGGATGGCAACCCTGTGTTGTTGTGTTGAGGGACGTGGTTCAGTGGGAGCTACTGGTAATGGGTGAATGGTTGGACTGGGTGAGCTTTGAGGTCTTTTCCAACCTCGGTGATTCTATGATTGTATGACCGAAAGTAGACCAAATCCATGCAATTGTGACTGGGAATCCTACTGCCATTAAAATGGCTGTAAGTTTCAACCGTGGTGCCTGTGGTCAGGACACACTGAGGCAGATCTCGGCCCCAGTGGCGAAGGAAATGATTGAGGACAAATTGCTCGACATCAGAATGGATCCAGTGGATATTTACAAGTCCCGGTTTAACCAGATGGGATCTCAGAATAGTGAGGCCGGGTATGGAAGCTGTTGCTGCTGTTTCTTTCTACAAGTTGCTCGGCTGTTCTGCATTGCTCTGTTCATTGTTCCAAACCATCCTTGCATTCATGGCATGCGTCTGACCAATTGATACCAGCTTTTTTCCATCACCTCGAGATGGCTTTCTTCTGAAAGGTATAAAGATCATCTTGTGACAGGGGTGTAGAGACTATGAGAAGGGGATCTCATTAAGAGACAGGCCAGAAAACAAACCCCAAAGCATTTCTTCTGTGTTAACTCATAGATACAGATAATAATTGATTCGTCTTCTAAGCTAGCAGGTATCACGTAGAGAGAAAGTACCCAGGGATCAGTTCCAGGCCAAACTGTGTTGTCTTTTTCCATTTTGTGTGTAGCCAGGACTTAGGTTCTATTGGCAAGAGAACAAAACCTGGAGAACAAGCATGACATTGCAGTTTCTTTTGGTCCTCATCTTCTCGCCTTCATCATTCAACCCTCTATTCCCGGGAACCAAGTCTTCCATTTCTCCTTTAGGCGGGGCTCACGTTTTCCCTGCTTTTCCTTTTATCACCGGTGTGAACTTACAAAAGCTTTTCTTATTGCCCTCCATATCCCTGTCCATTTCCATCAGATCAGGGCTTTGCCTTTCCTGAGGCCACCCCTGGCTTCTCGGACTCTTTCTCTGTATCACTTCCAGGCTTGCTGTTCTTATGTCTGCAGTCTTTTATAAACTCTTGATCGGCTCCCATCCGTCCCCAGTCAGAGTTCTGCGTTTCATCGAGTGCTGGATGTTCACCAGATTTTGAGGGTTCTGCTGTTGGTTGCTTTTGGTTTGTTTTTAATGCACTGCAAGGGAAACGGAGGAAAAGAAATGACAGGGATCTCTTGGAAAGAGGCCACCGAGATGGTGAGGGGCCTGGAGCATCTCTGCTATGAGGAAAGGCTGAGTGAACTGGGTCTGTTCAGCCTGGAGAAAAGAAGGCTGAGAGGGGACCTGATCCAGGTCTGTGAATATCTGAGGTGTGGGGGGCAGCATGGCGAGGCCGGACTCTTTTCAGTGGGAGTGGAGACAGGATGAGGGGAAACGGTCACAAACTGCAGCATAGGAAGTTCTGCACCAATGTGCGCAGGAACGGCTGTGCAGTGAAGGCGGCGGATCAGGGGGAGCTGCTGGTGATGGCTGGGCAGTTGCACTGGGTGAGCATTGAGGGCTTTTCCAACCTGGTGATTCCATGATTCCATGATTCCATGATTCTATGATTCTATGATGCTCTGTGTCCCTACGGAGTCCCCATGTGTCCTCATGGAGTCCCTATGTGTCCCTATGGAGTCCCCATGTGTCCCTAAGGTGTCCCCATGTGTCCCTACGGAGTCCCCTTGTGTCCCTAAGGTGTCCCCATGTGTCCTTATGGAGTCCCTATGTGTCCCTACGGAGTCCCCATGTGTCCTTATGGAGTCCCCATGTGTCCCTATGGCGTCCCCACGTGTCCCTATGGAGTCCCCATGTGTCCCTAAGGTGTCCCCATGTGTCCCTATGGCGTCCCCATGTGTCCCTATGGAGTCCCCACGTGTCCCTATGGCGTCCCCATGTGTCCCTACGGAGTCCCCACGTGTCCCTATGGAGTCCCCATGTGTCCCTAAGGTGTCCCCACGTGTCCCTATGGAGTCCCCACGTGTCCCTATGGAGTCCCCACGTGTCCTTATGGAGTCCCCATGTGTCCTTATGGAGTCCCCATGTGTCCCTACGGAGTCCCCACGTGTCCCTATGGAGTCCCCACGTGTCCTTATGGAGTCCCCATGTGTCCTTATGGAGTCCCCACGTGTCCCTATGGAGTCCCCACGTGTCCCTACGGAGTCCCCATGTGTCCTTATGGAGTCCCCATGTGTCCCTATGGAGTCCCCACGTGTCCCTATGGCGTCCCCATGTGTCCCTATGGAGTCCCCATGTGTCCCTATGGCAAGTGACCCATAGTGCCCCGCAAGTGACCTGTAACCCACAAGTACCACCCCGGTGCCCCATAAGTCACCCACAAGTGACAACTCAGGGTCTCACAGTTGCCCCACAGCGACCCACAAGTGACACAAAGAGCCCCCCTAGTGATCTGGGACCCACAAGTGCAACCCCAGTGCCCCACATGTGGCACAGCAGTGACCCACAAGTACCCCACAAGTGCCCCAGAGCGCCCTACAAGTGACCTGTGACCCACAAGTGGCCCCAAGTGCCCCACAAGTACCCTTCAAGTGCCACCGCAGTGACCCACAAGTGACACAGAGCCCCACAAGTGACAGGTGCCCCCCCAGTGCCCCACAAGTGACACATCTCATCACTGCACCTCATCTGCATCACAGCACCTCATCACTGACCCAGAAGTGCCCCATGAGTGCCCCCCAACTGACCCACAAGTGACCCGAAATGCCCCACAAGTGACCTGTGACACACAAGTGCCCCCCACTGCCCCACAACTGCCTCACAAGTGTCCCTTCAGTGGCACATCAGCAGCCCCTAACTGACCCACAAGTGACCCACAAGTGGCACAGCAGGGACCCACAACTGCCTCTCAAGTGACACATCAATGCCCCAAAAGTCACCCACAAGTGACAACTCAGGGTCCCACAAGTGGCACAGCAGCCACCCACAAGCACCCTTCAAGTGGCACCGCACTGACCCACAAGTGAACTGTGCCCCACAAGTGCCCCACAAGTGATACATCAGCACCGCACAAGTGCCCCTACAAATGACCTGTGACCCACAAGTGGCCCACAAGTGCCCCATAGGTACCCTTCAAGTGGCACTGCAGTGACCCACAAGAGACCCATAAGTGAGCCACAAGTGACGCATAGAGCCCCAGAAGTGACCTGTAACCCACAAGTGTCCTCCCAGTGCCCCACAAGTGCCCCACTGGTGACAAATCTGTGCCCCATAACTGACTCACAAGTGGCAAAGCAGGGCCTCACAAGTGCCCCGTAAGTGACACATCAGCACCCCATAAGTGCTCCACAAGTGACCCATAGAGCCCCAAGTGACCTGTGACCCCCAAGTGCAACTACAGTGCCCCACAAGTGACAAAGCAGTGGCCCATAACTGAGCCACAAGTGACCCACAAGTGGCAAAGCGGGGGCCCACAAGTGACCCTTAGAGCCCCACAGTGACCTGTGACCCACAAGTGCCCCCCCAGTGCCCCACATCTGCCCCAAATGTGACCCACAAGTCACCCAGAAGCGCCCAGTAAGTGACCCACACGTGACCATTTTAAAAATTATATTTATGATTTATTATTTGTGACTTATTATTTGTTATTTAGTGCATGGGAGCTGCGGAGTCACGGCCTGAAGCTCTGGTTGATTCCCCGAGGCGAGCCGTGAGTCAGGCAGAGGAGCACAGGGGAAGGCAATGCAGCTGTGGGGCCGGAAGGGGGGCAGCCAGGCTGCAGCCCTCCTGGAGCTGTTTAAGAGCTGGCTGCAAGAGGGGAAGATCTGAGCTGCAGATCGCATCTCTTGGTGCTTTGTGGTGAGCACAGCTGAAGGGGAGCGCTGCCGCTTGTTCTGTTTTTGTTATTGTTGTCTGCTTTGCCTCTCTCGATTATGTTGTGATTATAACATCTTGATTCTATTGGTTATGCAATTATATTGTGATTATAACATCTTGATATCTATTGATTATGCAATTATATTGTGATTATAACATCTTGATATCTATTGGTTATACATTTAGGTTTTTTTTGTTTGTTTGTTTTTATTTTAAATTTTTTCAAATCTTTTTATAAAATTTTTGTTAATTCTTTTTTTTTTAAATTTTATTGTTTTTTTATTTTTTGCTTTCTATTTTTTTAATTTTTTTTTTTTATTATTTTTATGCTATTTTTATTTCACGGTCTCTGCTGCCATCGTGTGGCCAGAAATCGGAACTGCAATGAATTTATTTTGGTCTCTTCTGCCGCAGTGTGGCCAAAAATTGGTACTGCGACGGGAATGCGCAGCCTTTTTGCCGGTTATGCGCATGCGCAAAATGGTGGCGATGTTCGCGCATGCGCAGTAGGGCATCAAATGCAGCGCATGCGCAGTGTTGTCCGGAAACTGGTGCATCCGCAGTGCGCTACGACAGAGCTGCGTCTGCTGGGCAGAAACTGGTGCGTATCTAAAAGGTGTTGCAGCGCCCGCATTTGCGCATAGATGGTGGTTTTGTGTGGCTGCTCGATGCGGGGCTGCTGCGCGCCGCTCGGAATCTCTCCGAGCCTCCGCAAATTGCTTCGAATTGCTCCGAGCCCCTCCGAAGCTCTGCGAGCCCCTCTGAATTGCGCCGAGCTGCTGCGAGCCCCTCTGAGCCGCTCAGAAGCTCTCCGAGCCGCTGCGAGCCGCCCCGAGTTGCTCCAAAGCGCGCTGAGCCTCTCGTGTTCCACTGGTGCTGCGAGGGCTTTGAAACAGCTGGAGAGCAGCGTAAGGCTGGCGGTGGAAGGGGACGTTTGTTGGTTCCCAGGGCGGCGAGGGGCAGCGGGGAGCCGAACCAGTCGGTTCCCGGCTGCGCTCCAGGCTAAAACGGCGGCAATAGACGGGGGGCTTCCCGGGGTAGAAGGGGAGAAAACGGCTGAGCCGGCTGAATGGCGGGGCTCGGCGGCTCGGTGGGTCACTTATGGGGCGCTGATGTGACACTTGTGGGGCATAATAAAATAAAAAATAAAAAAAAAACAACTAAATAATAAATCATAAATACAATTTAAAAAATGGTCACGTGTGGGTCACTTACTGGGCCTTCTGGGTGACTTGTGAGTCACATTTGGGGCAGATGTGGAGCACTGGGGGGGCACTTGTGAGTCACAGGTCACTGTGGGGCTCTATGTGTCACTCGTGGGGCACCTGTGGGTCCCTGATTTGTCACTTGTGGGGCACTGGGGGGGCACTTGTGGGTCAATTGTAAGGCGCAGGGGGCGCACCTGTGGGTCATACGTCATACGGTTAATGCCCCATACACTACATGATGTTTTGATGTGGAATACTGAAACCCAAAATAAAAGCAAACAAACACATAGAACCATGACAACAGCGCACGTCAAAACGGGAAGAACACGATGAGCAAGTGCATACAAACATGGACTTTCCCCATTCCTGGAGGAATCCAAAGCCAGGTTGGATGGGGACCTGGACAGCGGGGTCTCGTCTCGCATTGAACATGGAGCTTGGTTGGCAGCCCAGCTTGAGGCAGGGGGGTTGGAGCTGGATGATCCTTGAGCTCCCTTCCATCCCAAGCCATTCTACGAGGATTCTGGGATTTCCCCAACTCCAGTCGTAAGCACTGGAGGACTGGGCCAAATCTCTGCACGTTCTGATGGAGTTTAATGCACTCCTCTTGCTCAGATTGCTCAACTTGGGCATTAAGGACCCTCTTGAAAAGCCACGTTCTGATGAAGCTTGTCACCAGCACAACCAGACCTCTATCTGTCCACCAGGGACGCTGGCTGTTCTCAGCCTCGTACTGACTTGAAGGACAACTGCCTTGGCCTTCCCTCATTCTCAATTGCCTACAAACACCAGCCATACGCCCCGTGCTGTGCATGAAGGATCATCAGCGCAGAGGATAAGGTGGGATGGATAAGGGAGGTATTAAACGCGGAACACACCCAAAAAAGGACTCTATTTTGCTTCCCCGAACCATCATATGGAACATCTGTACCTGGCTTTGGCACCGAACTGATGAGAGCCTCGGGAACTTTGTTGTTAATGAGTTCCACACACTCTGCAGGGAAAAATCCAACCTGTAACAAGAGCAAAAAGAGAGGTGCGATACTGAATGCAGCATTTCTCAGGCCTGAACGCTTCAACCAAAAACCATGGAACGTTTTCCTCGGAACGTGTTTGCTGGACACTCCGCAAGGCTATCCAGCATAAAATGGCCTGCGGCAAAGTAACAAGCATTCCACATTTACAGCCAAAAGATCCAGAAAACGGCCTATGGAGCAGGGAGGGGACAAGTATGGTGATCTTTCCCCTCTGCTCTGCCTTGTACATCCACATCTGGAGCACTGTGTCCAGTTCTGGGCCCACTGGTACAAAAAGACAGGGATCTCTTGGAAAGAGTCCAGCGGAGGGCCACCAAGATGGTGAGGGGCCTGGAGCATCTCTGCTATGAAGAAAGGTTGAATGAACTGGGTCTGTTCAGCCTGGAGAAAAGAGGACTGAGAGGAGACCTGATCCAGGTCTATAAATATCTCAGGTGTGGGGACAGAGTGGTAAACCCAGACTGTTTTCAGCAGTGTGTGGAGAAAGGACAAGGGGGAACGGCCAGAAACTGCAGCATAAACTGCAGAAGTTCCGCACAGATGTGCGCAAGAACTTCTTTACAGTGTGGTGACGGAGCGCTGGAACAGGCTGCCCAGGGAGGTGGTGGAGTCTCAGTCTCTGGAGATGTTCAAGACCTGCCTGGACATCTACTTGTGCGACCTGATGTAGAGAACCTGCTTTGGCAAGAGGTGGAACTCGATGATGTCTGGAGGTCCCTTCATACTCTTATGATTCCGTGATTCCTTAAACCTTAACACTAAAACAGATCGCTAATATTTACCTTAAAATCTAATCTAAAAAAGAAACTCTAAAGCCCGTGCAGAAGGGTAACCCTTCACAATTAGCAGTAATACTGAATAGTAGCACTTAACCGTAACCCAAAGCGGGATCAGGCTGAGCTTGTCTGCTTCCAGGGCTTCGCTTCGTGTAAAAAAACGAAGAATGCTCTACCCCTGGCTCTGAATGCTGTGTCCATGCCTTTGGATCGAGCGACAATTCGATGCGCTGTGCTTCTCCGTGGCTCCACATCTGCATTCTGTGACAACAAGAGTCAAAGAGAAAACGCTCTGAAAAGGGAACGGGAAATGCGAGGAGTGACAGATGTTGTGCTCCTTGGGAGCACAATCGAAATAGTCGGGAGCACTGTAGTCTGCACTGTGTACAGAAAAAACCCCATTGAA